TTGTCTTGGGAAGCGGCCGAAGAGTCTCAGATGTGTTTCACGCTCCCGTCAGGGAAATGAGAGTAAAATCTGCAACTGCTGCGGCCCCGCGGATGAATTAGTCGTAAATAAGTTTCTGAGTGTGGGAGTTGTGTGGCTTGTAAGGAGCTGGGGACGATGGGAGGAGGGCAGGTGACAGGGGAAAAGTCTGAGGGAAGTTGGGCCTGTGCTTGACGCCTGCATGGATGCTTTTCAGCGTTGCTCAAATGGCTCCTGCAAAGAAAGGTGGCGAGAAGAAGAAGGGACGCTCTGCCATCAATGAGGTGGTGACTAGGGAGTATACCATCAACATTCACAAGCGGATCCATGGCGTGTAAGTTCTTGTTTGATTTGTCAGTGAAATTGGCCTATGTAAAGTGGCATTTGGAAATGGGTTCGGTAGGTTTTGAACTGCAGAGAACGACAGTCCTTAGCGGCACCCATGCTGATGCATGATCTTGTAGTCCCCTGTGCTACGGCTGCGTCCCAAGGAAGCAGCTCTCTACCTGTGCAGACCTATACTTGCAGGTGGCTTTCAACAACAAGCTCGGGGGGGTTTTTTGTCAGTGTTCCTGGACATAATTTGAAGTTAGAGCTATTTACCTCTGTGCACAGGGCGTCATTCTTTCCCAAGCGAAGTTTAAAATTTAGCCCACTGTACTAAGTTTTAGAAATTAAATATTGTTGCAGTCAAATGATTGGCTCTGTGCTTGTCACTAAATTGTAAGGTATGATTTGAGTTACACAATATTAGTTGTGTGCAGATGAGAGTAACTTTTTACCTGACAAAATACTGAACCTCGTTACAGCCACGTAGTAGTAAAGTGCTTGAGAGGACTTGTTGAGAAACTGCATCTCCGTTTGATTCTGTCTGTATGTGTATGGCTGCAGTCACGTGAAAGAAGACACTTTCTTTGATCCAAATCAAAACAATTAGTGAAATTGCTGAAGTTAACTTGGAATAGGAGAGAAGTGAGACAGTGGGCTACTACAAAACTGTGGGTGAGGATGGGAGGCAGTGGTACCTTTAAATGGCAATAAGATGTTCTGGCCTTGCCTGCTGATTGTTTATGGCAATTCAGTGTGTTCTTAATGATGATGGTCCTGCTATCCTCTTTTCTTCTGGGGTTATCCTCTTTTCTGTTTAGGCATGAAGTAGTAGGTGGGGGAAATACTTTATGTTTAACGCTTGTCTGGCTTGTAATCAGTCACCCACCCCTGATTTCTAGCACTAAATACCAACAGCAGTGTACAAGTAATACTAAATATAACCCACCGTGGGACCTTAGATCCTACTGACTCTATAGTTGCATGTCACAGTGTGGGTATAATATCTACAGCAAAGCACTCAGAGTGCAGCTGTAACTTTCAGTGTAAATGGCCAGTCATGCACAATCTGTCCATAACAGGCATGAGAGAAGCTGCACTTGTCAAAAACCAGTTCTGATGGTGGTTCAGTCATGATGACATGAAGAAAGTAACCATCAAACACCATTTAGCAGAAGCTGTTACTGAGAAGAGCATCAGTTTTGTTCTTCCGCTGTTTATTTCAATACTGAACAGTTCTGTCAAGTTTATGTTACCATTGTTGTATTGCTTTTTTCATAGGTTTTTCATTTAAAGCATCTGTGACAGCTCTGATCCCTTCGGTAATATTGCAAGAAGTTTTCATGTCAACATGTTATAAATAAGACTTAGGATCTGGGAGATCTTGCAGTTGCAAAATTTTACTGAAATTACTCAACATAACTATACGTGGTTTCTATTAGGCATAGATATTAAGGTTAGCAGCTCCCTACCAGAGTAGAGGTCTGGTCATACTATGATGCAGCTATTGAACTGCTGTTGAACACAGTTCTTTTGATTGTATGTTTAGAGAACGTCAGTGGTTGAGTGCTGCAACAGGTGTCCAATGCTGACAGTTTCCTGAAGTTAAAGAAATTGCTCTTGTGTTTGTCCTAGGGGCTTCAAGAAACGAGCACCGCGTGCTCTCAAGGAAATCCGTAAATTTGCAATGAAAGAAATGGGTACTCCTGATGTTCGCATTGACACCAGATTGAACAAAGCAGTCTGGGCTAAAGGAATAAGGTAGGTTTCTGCAACTCTCCTTATTGGGTGAGGAAGAACCTTTTAACTGTGTATGTGGAGGTGCAGGGCTTGAAGAGGTCGAAGAGCATGTATCCTTTTTGCCATATTTGCGTTTCCTTTGCAAATGCTTCCTTTCTTACAGTGTGCACGCCAAGCTAATGTTCCTGTCACCTCTACGTTCTGGTCAGCTCCCTCAGTGTACTTGTAGCAAAGCTTTGGTAAATTGGAATTGAAATAACTTCATTCTACCTCTAATAAGAATAAAGCAAAGGAAAGAAGGAATGCAGGTTGGGGGCAGGGGAAGGATTGGGGTATTGTAATACTCTTGTACCCCAGTTCCTATTGTAGCAGACAGTTTTTAGAGACATAGCTTTTTAGTGCTACCTACAGTCCCAGGGTAAGTACCTGGGATTTGTGTAATGTGTCTGAACAGGATTAGATTTCAAAGCATGCTGAACTGATAAATGTTACACAAAGAAATAATGAGGTGTGGTTTTAAATAGGGCCATTAATCTTGTCTTGAAAGTATGAGTACTTTGGGGGCCAAAAAATTACAGCTTCTGTTAAATCACTGCTACAGAGGCAGTTGAATGGGCATTTGACAGCGTGAAGATGGTCCAAAGGGACTCCTGTGAGGAGTGGGACCTCTTAAACCATAATGGAAGGTTAACTGGTAGAGATTAATACTGTGAGTGATACACTAGATACACATGAACCCTTGTTTTAAACCATGCCTTCTGGGAATTAGATTCATGAGTCTAGCCTGTGACATGTTTACAATCCTTTACCTGGAGCTGTGTGTTCAGGCCAACCTTCCTTCAAAAACAGGGTGGGAAGATGGGGCTAAGTTAGTGGGTCTTCTGGACAGGGCTTCTCTGTTCTTCCTGTTGAGCTCTTCCAGTTCATATACAACGAAGAAGTAGCAGTTGAGCCAGGTGACAGCATAACTTCAGAGCTGAGTAGTGAGGCTACTGACCAAGACTTCCTTATATGAACTGGTAGAAGTGTGTTCTGTGGAGCAGGGATTCATCGCATCTGTCTTTCCAGTGTGAATTTAACTGCAGTTTTCACTAGTTAGAACAGATAATGTATGCAAAGTTAAATATCTTCCTCTGGAAGGATCAGGAGAGGCTAATATCACCATGTCGGCTAGTGTGATAGTTGATGATCTAAGTAGTGAAAAATGTCAAGAAGGGAGTAAATCGAAGCAAGTTCCTGTGTCTTAATTATTGCATCCATCTGATTTAGTAAGTATGCTCTGAGAACATACAGCAAGGAGGCAGTTCCTTCTCATTCTGTGGAACAAAGTACTCTGAACAGGAGTTTCCCAAAATCCTGAGTTCATTTGAGGTAGGAGATTACTTGAAAAATGGTGTGGACAAATAATTTTGTGCCCTCTCTCAGCAGCATATTTTGGGTGTTATTAGGGGCAAGCTGTGATTTGCCTATTCAGAACAAAATCATGTAAGCAATTTAGTTGTGGTTCCATGGGCTTTGTGAGGAAGAAATGTTGATCAGTTGTATGCCCATAAACAAGATCTTGGTTCAGGTCTAATGCTCACTAGAATTTCCACAGCTTCTGGCAAACAGATTGGGTGGTACTCTGACTCCTGACAGGAGCCTCAGGCTTTCAGACCAGATTGTTGTGGTTTGGTTTTTTTTTTCCCTTGTTATTTCTATTCAAGTAATAAAAGCTTGTTAGTAACAGCTGCTTGCTGATCATATTCACGCTGTGCTTCATGATCTTTTTCATAGTATATTTCCTGGATCAGTGGATCCATCAGTGGACTGATGGTGCACTTCTGACTTTATGCTCCCACTGGATTACGGATTCATCTTATTCAAGACACAGTTAAATCTTACTTGCTCACTTTAACAAAACAAAATGCTCCTCTAAAGCAAACAGTATAATCTCTAAGGTACAGGATTTCGCTCTTGTTATGATGCCAAGATAGAATTGACTCATGATCATGTCTTTGCACAAATAAGCAAAGCCTAAGAATTTTGGGCCAGGGGTAGTAACCATGGAGCAGAGAACTCTTCTATGAATTAACAGGTTTCAGTACATATTTTATTGAAAATTAATTTGTCATCTTCATTTTAGGAACGTTCCTTACCGTATCCGTGTGCGTTTGTCCAGAAAGCGCAATGAGGATGAAGATTCACCAAACAAGCTATACACACTGGTTACCTATGTACCAGTCACAACATTCAAAGGTAAGGTTGCATGCCGTCTCCTCCTCCATGCCATGTTTTTCTGAACAAGTAGCCAAGTGGGACAGCTCCTCCTGCAATGCAAAATTCAGATGAAGAGTATGCTGAAGGGGTCAGACTGCTGGCTTAAACTAGCTCTGCTGTAGAGAACAGGGCTGCTAGCTTGCCTGATCAGCATTAAAAAACAAATACAGAATTTAGTGAAATAATCCTGTAAATTTTGAGAGAATAAAAACCACTGGCTGTAGTTGTTAGGGTAGTTTAAGGTTTGTGTTTTCCTATATAAAGTACATCCTCTGATGTCAAAAGCTCAGGCAGGTTGAGCCTTTTCTGCTTGTCATCTGAGAAGTATTTTATTTGCAGAATTGATTTAATATGAAGTATTTGTTTTAACATTTGGTGAAATACTTGCCTATATAGTTTGCTCTTCCAGAAGTAGATCAGCAAACTGGCTTTGAAACTGTAGGTGGACTTTCCTGTGAATACACATATATTGCATATACATAAAGGGGATTGTCCTAGTAATAGGTGGTGATAGAATTTCTTGTTTTGCAGGTCTACAGACAGTCAATGTGGATGAAAATTAAACCGATTTTCATTACAATAAAAGGATAAAAAGAGTTTACTCCGAAGTTGGGGGTTTTTTTTATTGTCCAGTCTCTTCAAGCTCTCATCCGTGAAGCACTGAGTTGAACAGGTGACAAACTCTTGAAGTATCTTGCTCCCTTTGGCCTTGTACATAATGGTGTAATTTTCTTAAAGATGCTGTAGACTTCTGTTGGATGTGCATGAAGTAAGGAGGAGATGTGAATGTTCCTGTGTGGGTGGCAAAGTCCTAGTGTTCTTGTTTTGTTCCTTTGGGAATAAAGAGCCACTACACATGTATTTCAAGTTAAGGCCAAGTTTGTTTAAAAACCAAAACCAAACAAAACCAACAAAAGCCCCAACTCCCAAAACTGTTAGCTCAATCCTTCATATATGTAATCTCCTGCAGATAAAGTAAACTCCCTATGTTTGGTTCCCCGCTGGTCTCCTCGGCAGAGTCAGTAGGCTTCTCCCAAGCAAGTCTGTGCACTACACTGAAACATAGGATTCTGACCAGTGAATTAATTGTGAGCGTGCTAGCTCGGGGAATTTGTTTAACGAAGTAGGGACTAAAGGCACTTACCTTCCATAAATCAATAAATACTGTCAATGCAAGTCTAGTACAAAAAGGGTTTATTGAAAAGTGCATGTTTTCACAGGCCAACATCAGAAGCACAGTCCATGTACACTTAACATCTCAGCCAGACATACAAATTGGAATACAATCAAATATATTAAAATAGTTTCAATTACCAGCATTGAAACAGTTTTCAGTATTAGTGCAAAAAAGGCAACCCAAACAAACTGCAGACAGTAGCTGAGAAGTGTTTTCCCCTGTTTAAAGGGGAAGAAAAAAAGAAAAAAAAAAGACAACTGGAGCCAGCCTCTGCTCTCCCTGTGCGGAAGGCGGCTTCGGTGTCTTCACACTGTAGACAGATGTTTCCTTTTACATCCAAAACAAGAACATAATTAATAAATCAAAGGCACAAAACAAACCTACACACCCTTTAGCTTTTAAAGCTCTTAAACTGAAAACCACAGACCAACAATTTTTTTATCAAAAGTCCACTGCTAACTGAAAGCCTTTTACAGTATGTGCTTTGGCATAATTTCAGTGCATTTCATTTTTGACAGATTTGCTACTACTGTGTGTTTAGTTTTGTATTTTCACCCCGTGACTGGCAGCTCATTCCATTTGTTTTGAGACTGTACTGATTTAGCTTTGCATTCTCAAGTTTTGGCTTCAGTTCTAAGGGTTTTTCAAAGAAGTTAACTAATGACTGTTCAGTCAAGAGGGATGCTAAAATGTGTTCAAAAGAGACAGTCCAGTCCCCTTCAGTCACAGGTGAAGGCTGAGAGTCTTTGTGAGGGGTCTTCACAGTGTCAGTAAAAACAGAATCCGGGTCCGAAGCCGAGGCCTCGGGCTGTAAGTCCTCGGTGAACTCGTCCGATCCGCTCCCCAGGCTGATGCTTCTTTGTCCTACTTCTCCAATCTGAAGTAACAGTGTGGTCACAGTGGCAATGGCTTGATAGAGATCATTCTCCTCTGGATCTTCGTGAAACATGCTATACAAGGTTTTGCAGAACTGAATGAATTCCCTCTGGAAAGGATGAAAAACCAAAATCAAACTACTGAACAGCTGCGCTGTGGGGAACTGTAGGAGTCAGGCGAGGGCACAGTACGGCAGAGGAAGGCAGAATACCGTATACAGACTTGATCATTTATAACTTTTGCCTGCATTTTAAAAAATGTTAGCAAAGGGATTTCAACCCCCACTGATGCTAGGAAACCTTGGTGCTGCAAATCCAAAGGGGAACAGAGCAGAGAAGTATTTTGCTGCCTTGATGAAGGAGACCAGGACCTCCCAGATGACCGAAGGGCAACTGAGATACAACACAAGGGATACAATCCGTTACTGGTGGAAAACTGGCGGCTGTTACGCAACCAGTTGCAACCAAAGTAGCCATCCACAGGCTTGCAAGCAACTTCCCTTCTGCTGTTTCTCCACATCTTTCCACAGCTCTTTTTCTTCTAACACTAAAATGCAGACATCTTCCCTGCCCAACCTCTCTCTCCTTCCTTCCTTCCCTCGCTCACCCGTCACAGATGATTATCAGGCTATGAGAGGACGTTTCCATATCCTGTTACGAAATTTGTGAGCCCTCAAGTTTCATACAGTCTTATGTTGGATAATTCAGGGTGGAAGGGACCTCAGAAGTTCCATCAAGTGATGTCTCTATGAGAGATTGTGTGGCCCTGCCAAGCTGAGAGGTTAGGTACATGCCAACAATATAAAACTTTATTTAGCAATGCTAGCACAGAAGGCATTCTGGTGTAGTCCCATCTTTCTTTGCATGTCCATACATTTGTTTTACTGATACAGGACCCTTTTCCCTCCAGTAGATTTTCTCATGCCAACAACATACACAAAGCTCTACTGGCATTAGGGAGGATACGGTAAGATGATGAGAGCCTTCAGCTGTCTTACTTAATGCAGTTCTAGTCAGCATTTGGGTATGACAGGGCAAGTCCCAGTTGGTGATGGACTAAGAAAGAAGTTACTGGTTTGGTCAAGAGGAGGTCAGGGAAGACAGAACAGCAATATGCATTCTCAGGAATTCTCTGGGCTTGGTAGGAGGGCTTTTTCCAGCCTGAATGAGCCTGTTTTCCAGCCTGTTGTGCTGCAGGTGCAGGTAAGTCTGAAATTCTTTCTATTCATCCGGCAGTCTGAGGCAAGGGAGGTGCTAGAAAGGCGGCTGAGAGTTTTTGAACATGATTCCTGCTCCCTGGATCAGAGTAGCCCAATCCTGATATCTAAGCTCAGGCTGAAGTTACACTCTCAGAAAGAGCTAAACTTGTATTTAGTCTTTTCATTTTTGAGTGCCCTCCACTTCTTTACAAACAGACTGTAGCCCCTAGTATACATACCTGGCTCATTTTTGGCAATTCTTTTTCAGTTTTAGTATCCTTTTCTTTGGCTAGATCCTTCAGCATCTGCTTCAACTGCTTCTGGTAATCTACTGCATCACCTTTTTTAGAGCAGATGCAAAAAGGAGAATTAAGTTTTCAAGTCGCTAGAGTAAATTGGCATTTCAAAATAAAACCCAGAGGGTGGAGATAATGGAGTTGGTTATCTCATGTGCACATGCATTACAGAACCATTCTGGACATACCATTCGCTTTTCCAATGACTAGTGGTCTTGAAGTTGACAGCAAAGGATTCTTTAATGGTGACTGGCTGTCTCGTTCATTTTCTGTGAGAGCTAGCCAAAAAAGTGAAGAATGTAATGATTAATCCTTCCAATGTTGCATAATGGTTATTTATGCTTTTAAAATTTACATGTTTGAAGAAAGCAAAATAATTGGGCAAAGATGTTTTTAAACAGTACTTCATTAAATCATACTGTAAAATTATGTTAATGTAAGTAAGACTGGTGCTGCAGTGCAAGAGTTGGAAGATTGCCAAGAATGGCACAGTTAATTAAAAACACTGCACAGAGAAACTACCACAGAATTTTGTCACTTAATCAGAACTGGATCAAAATGCGATAAGGAGATTTCTGCTGTACATGAGAGTACCAGCCATCCAGAAATGTTATTCCAGTTCAATATTTTGTCTAGAAGAAACCATGTAATTGGCTGCAAAAGATCTCTGAATGCAGCAGACGTGAGCCTTGACACTGTAGATCTAGAAATTTCACCCAAAAAGGTTTTGACGGGAGTAAATTTTAAAATGCAGTGAGTGTAACTACAAATGCAAATCCTATATGCTCCCAGCTGAAGGAAGCAAGATAGGGCTCTTCATTAAGCAGCCTTTTCCCAAAAGCCTTAAGCAAGAGTTTTGAGGCAAACTGAGGTATTCAATCCCTTTCAAATTTCTTACCAGGTGGGATATGCAGCTTATATAGTAACTTTATCTTTTCATTCATTTCTCCATTATACATAACATCTGCAAAAAAAAAAAAAAAGAGCAAGAAGGAAGTGGACCAGAGCATTTACTTCCACAGTTTAAAATAAATCGGGCATCTCTGTGCACAAAAGATAATTGTTTGCATGGACAATACATGAAAACATATGGCCAGTATATTATACTGAAATATTTTAAGTTCTGCCTGTCAATGAGGAACAGCAGGTGAGAGCCATCTGGTCTGGTCTTTGTTCTTGTAAAAGAGACTGGGAGTACCTAACCCTACGGAGCTTCAGAATCGTTTAAAAATATCACAGAGAATGGCAGGGAATCTAGCAAAGGCTGTTTGCTGCCACAGATTAACAGGACTGTGAGGGGCGGAGAGACGGAAAACTCCCTTTGGGGCCTTCACGTTGTTAATATTTCTCCCCTTCAGCCCTTACTGCTGTTCTGCAGCATAAGCCCAAAAGAGGTAACTACTTCACATGTAATATAATTCGTATCTTCAATGACCAGTAGAAATGACATTCTAAACTTTCAAATGCACTGAAATACTGTGAAGAACTTTTTAATTTTTAAAGTTGTATCCCTCTAAGAATCAAAATCCTCTAACAATATAATACGGGTTGGCTTGCTTCACATAAAAAAGTTCTAGAAAGCTTAAGGAGCGAGAATACTGATTTACTGATTTTACTCTTCAGCCAGATTTTGGGATGGGCAGCCTCATCTCATCAGAACAGCTGGTGGGCCTCAAGACCAACCCTAGCACAGCTCTCAGTCCCTGCTGGCCAGATTGGTTTTTGTTCTGCTTGTTGTCAACATACAAGGCATGCAGCAGTCAGTTGTGTGAGAAGCAGTTACAAAGAGGTATGCTGAGGTTTCCAAAGGTACACTGAAAGCAACAATCCAGTAGAGAGGATTTCCTAGCAGACCCAAGTATAATTTGAGTTCTTAAATATTTTCAACAAAATTACTATTGTCCAAGAAATCAAGTATTTTAATACAATATGCAATCACGTCCTTAGGCCGTCTTTTAAATCTAATCGACTTTGGGTGATTTGAACGTAAAAAATCAGTAAAGGTCACTGGTTAGGCTAATTACAAGCCCAAGAAAACCATCTGCCCTCCTCCT